CAAAACTCTAGTGTCACCAAACCACTCAACAGCAGTAAAGTACACAAAGAAACTTTGTGCACAAGAAAAGGAGAAATCAGAAAAATTCGTTAGGAAAAAATTTGAAGAATCAATGTATTTATAGGCAAGAAGAACTGGTTCTGAAAGGTTGCAACACTTTCAGAATCCACACAATCATTCATGAAAGTTGCAATCTTTCAAACGGTCATGGTTGTCCCTAAAAATTGCAACCTTTCAGAACAGTTACTTCCAAAGGCAAAAAATTCAAATAAAATGGGTCGCCGCAGATCGGAGCCAGATCGGTCAATTAACTAATTAATTGAAATATTTCGGTTAATCAACTAATTAATTGAAATATTTTTGGCCATTTAACTAATTAATTAATTAAATAACTAAATAACTAAAACAAACTTTATCCAAAAAATAGTCTCTCGATCATTGACAAAGTCGAAGCCTAACCCGAGCAGAGCGACGATGACGGCAGCGTGAAGGGGGTCATTTCTCTTTCCAACCCTTTTAACAATTAATAGGAGTGATTCTTTATTTAAACTCTCCTATTTTCCGTGTCACCACCGATGAGGGATAAATGTCTTTTTACTCAAGTATAAGAGGACTTCTAAGTTCTAACTTTTCAAGTTCCTCTCTTTTCATCTTCCTTCCATTTCGCATTAACTCTTGCTACATACCCAACAAAAGACAAGTAAAAGGAAAACATACTCCATAAATCCAAATTCAATGTAATATAATATATAGAGAAAAACTGACATGGGTGATAGGGATGGTGGTGTTTGGATGAACTCATGGTTCTTGATCTTGACTTTAATTTTGCGTTTTGTGAAGAAGAAAGGGGAGAGTAGAACATATAAGTGTTGGAAAAGTAGAAGAGAGAGGAGAGCATGAGGACGTGCATATGCAATTGTTATGTATATGTGTACATGTGTGTAAATTTATAGTTTTTGGAATTTGTATAATATAAGTCGTATAACTTTTGTATGATATAATTTGTATAACTGCTTAAAGTTCAGAAGTTAGTGTTTGAATAAAATTGTTACTTTGAGTTAATACAAATATAAATACAAATCAATGATACTAACCAGTTTATACAAATATGAACAAACTTTTTTATGATGTAATTTGTATAATTGTTTAAAGTTCAGATGTTTGTATTTGTATAGATTCGTTATTTCGAGTTTATAAAAAAAAATACAAATCAATTGATACTAATCCGTTTATACAAAATACGAATGAAATAGCTCAGTTTAACAAATACTTACGAATTATACAATTACAAGGAAATTATATAAATGTACATGCGGATTATACAAACGAGGTCATTTATATCAGGTTAAACTATTGCTACAACTCGTAAATATATAAACTATAACTAAGTAGCCTAATTAAATTTATCATAATGACTATTTTAAAAAATTCCCTTTGAAATTGATTATCCATAATATATTTTGTAAAATCTTCGTCAAGCATAACTTTTAATTATTTTTATATTTTATTTCCGTCATTCATCCTTTTCTAATATAAGATTACATTTAATTTTAAACTTTAAAAAACATCTCAACATTTTAGAGGAAGAAATATAATGCTTATCAACATTTTTTTGAACCAAAAACACTAAGCATTAGTTTCAACAAGTTTTATCCAAATACATGTTACATGTAGTATAGAATTAATTTCAAACATCTAAAAGTACTTAACAACTACACTTTTAATCAACCAACTCACACTTGCTTTAAATCTAATTACAAGATATTCGCTCTGTCTCGTATTAATTGTCTTGTTTATGAGAATCAATTTAATATTTGAAACGAACTATATTGCCACGTTATATTATCGATATAAACAAGAAAAATTTACGGTTACTTATAAGGAATCCAAAAACACATCTCATCAACCTTATCAACAAAGCAAAAACATTGGATGTTAGTGAAAAATGCTATTACAAGCTAGTGTGGGTATTGGTCAACATAGTTACGTATCAAAAGCAATTAAGCAACTCCCTAAAGACATAAAAGACACCATGATCATGTTGTCAATGCATGCATAAACAAAAAAATAAATTTAAAAAAGGTGAAAAGAAGCCAATGTTAGTTTTAAGTTTACTTGTCCTCCATAATATTTTAGTTTAGTTCCATTATTGAGAAATTTAGACACATTAATTCACATTACTCTTAAATTATTAATCAATCTTCATCTTGTCACAAAGGTACTGATTAATTTAGACATTTCAAAAAGTAGGGCGTGTTACATTCTTGACTAATTAGAGATGAAAATAATTGGAGAAAAATATTTATTTTTTTGTCATACCAACATACTTTATATAATATAAAGGGCAACTTGCACATATAGCAAACATAAAATTCATATTTGTATGCTATAACAAAGTTTGCATAATTGCGCTTCATAACAAACATATATATGTATAATTCGCTATACATATACAATTGAAGCGAATTGAATAAAACGAGAAAAAGAAACAGACTTGGGTAGAGAATTGCATAAAACGAAGTGTATAAAACGAAATATATAAAACGAATTGTATAATTATAGGTGTATAGAACGATTATATATAATTGAATTTGTATAAAACGAGAAAGGGAGGAAGTCAAAAGAGAATTGGGCGTGGAATATACAATTAAATCGAATTGTATAAAACGAGAAAGAGATAAATTATATACAATTTGAATTTGTATAAAACGAGAAAGAGAGAAAGACAAAAGAGACTTGGGCAGGGAAGTACTTTTATTGTATAATTATAAGTGTATAAAATGGAGATATATATATTTGCATATGTGTATACAATTTTCTCTCGCTTTATACAATTAGAAACACAATTTATATGATTCTATTGTATAAAGCGAGAGAGGCGAGTGACAGAAGCGAGCGAGAGAGGGAGAGTGACGAGCGAAAATATGAGGGAGAGAGGGACTGACAAATAGTTTGCTATGAAACACAAATAAGTCAACGGTAGCTAATATATATATTTTATATTATTAATTTGTCATTCTATACAATTATCCCTAACATATAAATACTTAATAGGGAAAATAACTTGTGTGTCTACTTTTTAAAAAATAATTACCATATTTGTCAGTATTATTTTTTTAACCATAAATGTCAATTTAATTGAATATTCAACTTCATATTTTTTCTCTCGCCTCAAAATTTTCCCACGCCTGCAATTGCAATTTTTTCTTCTCTCGCGACTGCAATTTTTTCTTCTCTCTCGCGACTGCAATTTTTTCTCTCTCTCGCAACTGCAATTTTTTTCCGGCGACTTCAATTTTCTCTCGCCATTGCAATTTAAAGGTTAGTGTTGAGTAAGATCTGTTAATTTAGGTTACTTGCACTGCATTCTGCGATTTTTGTTGGTCTACTTTGCACTTAACTGATCCTTTAATGTGAGCTTGCAATTGTGGTCTTGACAGTGCCCAGATCGTTACGCCTTTCTTCTTTTTGTGTGAATTTATGTTGAGATTTCGTTTGATTTATGTTTACGCTACTTGTGTGCCTTTTTGTTTGATGATTTATGTTGAGATTTTGTTTGATTCAAGTTCCTGTGAGTGTCTGGTATTCAGTTCTCTTCTCTAATAAGTATGATCTCTTGTTAGCATCTGTATATTCATGTTTAATTCACTTTTTAGCATTTGTGTAATACAACTTCAATTCAGTTTTATTTTACTTGTTAGCATCTGTGTAATACAACTTTAATTCAGGTTTAATTCACTTTTTAGCATTTGTGTAATACTTCAATTCAGTTTTAGTTCACTTGTTAGCATCTGTGTAATACAATTTTAATTCAAGTTTAATTCAGGTTTAATTCACTTGTTAGCATATGTGTAATTCAACTTCAATTCAGTTTTAGTTCACTTGTTAGCATCTGTCTAATACAATTTTAATTCAAGTTTAATTCACTTGTTAGCATTTGTAATACAGCTTTAATTCATGTTTAATTCACTTGTTAGCATTTGTACAATACAACTTCAATTCAGTTTTGGTTCACTTGTTAGCATCCGTGTAATACAACTTTAATTCTGATTTAATTCACTTGTTAACATCTGTGTAATACAACTTTAATTCAAGTTTAATTCACTTGTTAGCATATGTGTAATTCAACTTCAATTCAGTTTTAATTCACTTGTTAGCATCTGTGTAATACAACTTTAATTCAGGTTTAATTCACTTGTTTGCATATGTGTAATACAACTTATTTTCATGTTTGATTCACTTGTTAGGATTTGTGTGATAAATTTTTAATTTAGATTTTATTAAGATTTAATTTAGTTGTTAGCAAAGTGATGCTCTTCTAGCAGATTAATCTATATGTCTCTCTCTAGTCTTTTAATAATAGTAATACACTCTTTAATGATGTGCAGAAAAAATATGACTAATATAGCGGTGATGCTTTACTTCAATGGACGATGGGATCCTAGCAACAAATATATTAACTACTTGGCAGATGGTGTGTTGATACACACAGAGTCAACGTTTGCCACCCTCGTTTCTGTAATTGCTACTCAATTGTCAATAGACACATCAACAAGTAAAGTTGAAATAAGATATAAAATTGATGAAAGGTCTCCTCCAATTCAAATTCATAATGATATGGGGTAAAGGTATATCTTGAAACTAAAAAGGAACATCGAGATATGACAAGATACCCTTTATGTGTCACAACAACTGAACCAGTCAACTTGGAGACTAATGTTGCACTCATTCCACTTTTGTGTTCAGACACTTCAGGAGATATGAGGGTTATACACAATTCATACTTCTCTAATACATTTAATGGTATTGATGAAGCAATAGGGTTAATTGGATTCGGATCATGTGAGGAAGTTGATGAGCTAGAAGAATTAGCACCAGGCATCATTATTAATCCCAATCACTCTTTGTTTGAAAAAGATCAGGTGTATAAGAATAAATATGTCCTCACTAGTTCACTAAAAAGACATTCCATTCTTAATCATTTTCAATTCAAGACAACAAGATCAAGCGCAATAAGGTAAGACCTAAATTCAAGTCACTTTAAATTATTAATTGTGTATTAATATTTTTTCTACAGCTATTCGATACAGTGCCTAGGAGAAAGCTGCAGTTGGAGTTTACGAGCTTCAAGCTTGAACAAATCTGAAATGTTCAAGATTAGAGAATTTGAAAGCGAACACACTTGTTTGTTGCTACATAATTCATTATCGGAAAGGCTAGCAACTAAGAGTGTTGTTGGGAGTATTATTGTGGGTAAATATGCTGAACCAGATGCTAATTACACACCAAAAGACATACAACGTGACATGTTAGCTGAATATGGTGTGCGACTCACATATATGCAAGCTTGGAGAGCTAAAGAAGCAACTCTTGAATTAATCCGGGGTGATCCAATTCAATCATATGCAAAGTTGCCAAGCTACTTTCACATACTAGAGGCGACTTACCCTGGTTCTCATATAAGATTTCACAAATCAGAGGATGACCGTTTTTTATATGCGTTTGTAGCTTTGTTCACCTCGATAAAAGGATGGGAATATTGTAGACCAATTGTAGTTGTTGATGGAACTTTCTTAAAAGGAGCATACAAAGGGACACTGTTAACCGCTAATACCTTAGATGCAGCAGGTCAGACTTTCGAATATGATACTGTTTTTTATATTGAATTTTTGAACTATGTATTAAAATTGAATTATGATTGTAGTAAAAATGTATTAAACTTGTATTAAAAAAAGTGTACATGGTGCAGGGAGTATATTGCCACTTGCTTATGCTATTGTCGATTCAGAGAATGATTCATCTTGGGGGTGGTTTTTTGAGCAATTCAGAGATGCATTTGGTCAAAGACCAGAGATGTGTATCGTTTCCGATAGGCATGCAAGCATTATTAAGGCAGTTTCAACAGTTTATGATGAAGTACCTCATTTTGCATGTATGTGGCACTTACTGCAAAACATAATGAAAAATTTCAGAAGAAGTCAACAAAGGGTCACTGAGTTGTTCTACTCTATGGCAAAAACATACACCATGACAGAATTTAATCAATGTATGACAATGGTTGAGAAGATAGATAAGAGGATCAAAGATTACTTGTTGAACATTGGATACAACAAATGGTCACGTGTGCATGCTGAAGTAAACAGAACTTGGATAATGACATCAAATATAGCAGAATCAGTCAATTCACGAACAAGACATGCCAAAGTTCTTACAGTCTTGCAACTCTTGGAATTCATGAGACAACTTGTACAGAAATGGAATAACAATAACAGATCAAAGGCGACATTTTCAGGTTTTCACCTTGGAAAAAAGTATGAAAATATATTGCGGCGCAATAAAACTGCATCAGAGAAATTAAAGGTATGCCTAATCTGTTTGCTAGTATTTTTTCTTCGGATTCATATCTAACATCTCTCTTGAATATATTTTTTTTCATAGGTTGTAGAGACAAATAAATATGTGTATACCGTACTTGATGGTATTACACAATTCACAGTATGTCTTCACCAACGTACATGCACATGTGGGAGATTTCAATTGGATGAGTTACCATGTCCACATTCTTTGGCCGTTTTAACAATAAAACACACTGGTTATGAGAAATATTGTTCGGCTTACTATACAAGAAAAAATTTATTGTTGACATATCAATTTCAAATGGATCCCCTGCCAAATGAAAGAACATGGAACACACCAACACATGTTCTTCAAGATATTGTACTTCCACCTCATGGAAAGAGACCTCCGGGAAGGCCAAAAAATAAAAGACATACTCAACTGAGAGAAGATGGATTCAAGAAGGCGAAAATTACATGCAGTAATTGTGGACAACATGATCACAACAGGAAGACTTGCAAAAATGTCAGGCCTTATGATCAAGAATAAAAAAATAATTTGTTTAGTTCCGCAATCTCGTGTTATTCAGTTTAATAGAATGCTTTCTTAGTTGTGCAATCTCATGTTATTCAGTTTACTGGAATGTTTCTATGTGTATAGTTACATTTTATATGATATATAGATGAAATGATATAGTTTACTGGAATAACTCAGTTGAGCTTGAGGCTTGGAAATGTCTTGCTGAGTATAATTGTCAGGTTGGGGAATTTGGGTGATGCTTGGTATGTTTTTGGTTTGTTAGTATTTTTGTAATATAGCTCTTTGTCACTTGTTAGTATTTGTGTAATACAACTTTAGCTTAGGTTTAATTCAGGTTTAATTCAATTGTTACCATTTGTGTAATATATATTTAATTCAAGTTTAATTCAGGTTTAATTCAATTGTTACCATAATATAGATTTAATTCAAGTTAAATTCAGGTTTAATTCACTTGTGGAAATTTTAAGATTAATGTCTTGTTCTAATTCTATAAAGAAAAATAGGATTTCAAAAAAATAAATAGTATCGATTCGTAACACAGAAGTTCATATATTTGCAACCAAAAAAAATACATGATTTTTTTATAGTTTTCACAACTTATTGAGGTTTCATGTTCACCTCGAAAATTACAATTTTTTACTACTCAAATTACATATTCAAATAAAACTATAACTTTAAATCAACCTAATTACAATTTTTTACTACCATTTCCTGCCAGTTTTACATAAGCATTCATAGTGTCATTCAAACAGAAGTATGAGGAGCATTGACTTTTTTAAACTCAATCATGCATACTTCCAGCAAGCTGGATAGACATGGGCAGCAACTTGTTGCTCCCAAACAAACTAACATATGTAGCATTCCAACTGCAAAGACAAAATTCCTTAGAGGAAGTACAAACAGAAAGGATCAATAAGGACACAAAGAAGGAACAACTTCAAATAGAAGACTTACATATAAACAACACAGTTAGGTATATAATATCAAGACTTACAAAATAGAGCAATACAATTTTTCATAGCCATAGTAACTACAAATTGTTTTACATTATATAGTTTTCATAGTCATACTAACTAATATAACTATATTCCTTTATCTAACTGGTCTTTCGTCTTCACTTTGAAGGTCACTCGCTTGCATCCTTCTTGCATATTCCCATAATATAGCTCCAAATCTCTTTCGGACAATGTCTGCCTTTACTTGTTGATTTTGAATATGTTGGCCATTACTTACAAACTCCGCAAATGCAGCAACGAAAACTCCACAATCCCTACAAAATTCAATATAAAATTATTATCAAAAAATCAATTTAATAACTAAAAAAAACACATATTTAATAATACTTACAGTGAATCCTCATTTTGTCTGGGAACATCTTTAGTTATGAAATGAAACTCAATTTTCTCGAACTCATTTATCTCACTGTATTTTGGTGTTGACTTCAATTCAGGACGCTTATCATAGAACTTAACCACACTTAGATAATATGGTAAAACAACCGAAAGCATCTCAACAATATTTTTTACCTCTAAATTCACCCCACCCCTAGCCGGAAATGAATCATACACCTCCAATGACCTTTGCCCAATATCAAACACCACAAAAATCCAGTGACGATTCTCTTTAATGTTTAGTGGAATAAGAACAAAATCCACTTTATCCCACGAGGTACTTGCCAACAAACGACGTCCACTGATATACCGGGCAATATCATCAGAATCTAAAACTTTAAAATTTTTCTTATCCTCATGAGCATCACAAAGTTTAAAGAAAGAATTGGTAATCTTTGTCTTGAAAACACAATCAGTCGTCGTAAAACGAACATTACTGTTGGTATCATATTTTCCTTTCTTTCTTAGGTAATAGAAAATGACATCAATATGCTGCAAAAAAAAAAAAAACTTATGAAACAGAATAGTGAAAGAACAGTGCAGAAATTTCAACTCAAAGTTAAGGTAAAACTCTGTTTTCGCCCCAAGTGTGGCTCATTCATCACATATTGGTGAAACACAACAGTGATAGAACTTATGAAGATGTTCAATTTCTACCCAGAAAAAACTTAGAGACAACAGTAACTTACTGAAGCTGACATATTTTATATAATATTCTAGCTCATGTATATGCATATATGTGGATTCTTAATGATACAATGAACCTCAAAAGAAAAGAATTGAAGCTAAAATGACAAGAACATGATTACAAGTTTCATTCTTTTCGCAATATCCTGAGCTTTTGTCCCTCTTGAAAGACAGAGACAAAGGGAACAAGAACAGAAAGAAAAATGACTTGCAAGCTATAGAATTACAATGTCACACAACTAAAGAGCTTCAATAGATGAAAAATACAATCTATCTACACAACTAAACAGAAAGAATTTTAGTTGAGACAAAGACAAACTCAAGATTAAGAAACAGAACGAATAAAAGAAATATTAACGTCCAACTAAAATTTATATAACAAACCTCATCACACCATTGTTGTCCAGAATGTGCCAATTTGAAAAACCAGAGTCTTTCATCTACTTTACAGACACCCAATTCAAATGCTGGATTGATAACATTAAGAGCATCTGTATAAGGTTTCTTTCCCCTATCAAAACAGAACAAAAATAAACAAATACTCAAAACCGAGACAGGAACAACTAAAAAAGAGGCAAATACGAAACTAAAAAAGAGGTACAGAGCGTTCCACAAGTTGAATTAAGCTTGTATATATTATGAATTAGGAAAATTATCCCAAAAACATCAAAATAAATTACCTCTTTTTTGTACCCATATAAAGCCACTTAGTGAATGAATCGATCAAATCAGATTCATCATCTCCTCCGCTTGCATATAAAAAAGGATGTTTTGTCTCAAAAACCTGATGTGTAACACATAAAGTTCCTCCAGATTAAAATATTGTGTGAAGGGAGATGTTATTAACTTTCCTGGATTTTTCTTTCTGCCACGTTTCTTCGGTGACACTTTCTTTTTGTTTTGATCAACTTGGGCTCTTTTTTTTAGATAAGATTCTTCAGTCCTATTGATCTGAGAAAGATCTTTATCAAGTAAAATAAAGTCATCTAAAGTATGCAAAGGTTTTTGACAATCCTCTGTTGCATCTGCATATAATAGATATATTGATTAATTTACAATCAACAGATGCAACACTTATTTATGTTGGTTTTTTTTACTACATTACCATCAGGTTTCGCCCCAACTGTATTCACATCAGCAGCCTCTTGGACTGTAAGCCAAATAAATATTTTAATAATGTTATCAAAATAAATCGAAAGAAGTTTAGTTGAAGTTAAGAAAATGAATACCATTTATATCAGCAACAACCTCTGATAGAACTTTTTCAATAACAATTCCTGCAACATCTTCATCTGTACATAACAAGAACATTTAAAAAAACAGAATTGAATTAAAATATATGAAATATGTAATATATTTGTATAAAATCCTTCATTACCTATTTTACTTGATACTCTTTCAAGATTTTCAACATCAGCAAATCTAACTGTAGCTTTAAGCACTTGAGATTCTTCATTTTGATTTGATCCCATAACATGAGCATCGTTCCCTCTCGATTCATTTACAGATGCATTAACACGGGGAGAAAATGTTGTATATGTAATTAACATATTATTAAAAAAAACATATCAAAGTTAACTGAAAAATGAAATATCGAATTCGTGTCATTTATAGATTAACTGGAAGAAAATACTAAACTATATATTAAAATTATATTATGAATATAACAGAAATTTACTGAAAATATAAACGAACCTCCATTAAAATCTAATCCACCTGAAAATGTCTCGTCAGCATGCTTCTTAGATGGTTCCTTAACTTCTCGAATAACAGAGCTGCTACCACCACTCTTAGCAAACAGCAAAGAAATATCCTCCAATAATTGTTTGTTTGAGTTCACCACAAATTCTTTGATTTGATTGAATCCTAAATCAATCTTCTCTTCAAGCGCTTTGTTATTTTCATTCACCTAATAGATATTAAATCATAACGAAAATATTAAAAAATAACAGTTTTAAAATAAAAAGCCTAAAGTTTAGTTTGTGTATACTTTTACAAGCTCTTTTCTCAATTCTATGACTTCATTGGTCAAAATGTCTAGACCATGATTTGATCCTTTAGGCTCCAATTTCAAAATTTCAGCATGGTAATCACGAGTTTCAGGAAGCCTGAATTTGGATACTTCATCTTCACTAGCCACTATGTTCTCAAACTGAAAAACCAAATACACAAAATAACATTAGATATAGTAACTTGAGTTCAAATAAACAATGTAATAAAATGTATTAACTTTGTACAAATACCTTGTTTTTTGTAGGCATGAAGAGACATTTCTCAATATATTTTAACCATGGACTTTCTGCAATTGTCTTCCAATTCAAGATTCTTGGAATAGAATCAGCAACACGAATAGCTATATCTTCATCAACCTTTGAACAACACTCAAATATCCAAATTTGAAGAGCAAGAGGCAAGCCACCAATTCTATAGTACTTATGTGTTGACTTAAGCTCATGCCTCACAGAATCAGACAACTTTTTGTAGACATCTAAACCCCACGGATATGAATTGAATTTTCCACTTTCCACAAGGTAAAAATCTCTATTGCTAATTTGGTATTCGTTGTCCTCATATGAAAATAAAAAATCATTAATGAAGTATAGAACAGCCAATGAAACAGCCGAGTCAACATCTATGAATTTTTTAGCTAAAAACAGTGCACGTAGATGACTCTTTGGAACTGTGATTTTTTCCGAAAAATAACTACTCATCAAACTACATCTAGAATTGGGAACATTGATAGATGTGCCATCACCAACACAATTTAAGCCTGTAACTATCCCAAATTCTCTAAGACCAAAAAATAACTTTTTGTTATTTATTTCAATAGCAAACACATCATCCGGTGTGTGTTTTAACTCTCTATTTATAAGACAATGAATAAGTTGTAGTTGTGTGCTTGATTTTGGAAGGTCAAGAAAGTACCCAAAACATGTATTCCTAAACATCTCAAGTTGTTTATCAGATAAAGATAGTTTGATTTGTTCAATGACACTATGATTAGTGTAACATGACCACCTACTCGAAATATACACAACATCAGGATGTTTCCAGAATTTACGATCCTGCATATGCATTAAACATGAATTAAAAATGTGTTACTACATACTAAAGATGAATAAAAAATGAATTAAAGTTGAATTAAAGTTCAACTAAAGTTGAATTAAATATGAATTAAAGTTGAATGAAAGTTGAATTAAAGATAATTTCACATACTACATCTAAAAAACAAGCAGCAATCAACATACAACCCATTGCTAAACAACAAATAACTAAGAAGTACTAGCACATACCGGATATCTACTCTCTGGTAGAATGACACTTTTGGGTAAACGATTTCATGTTTTTCCATCATTCACCGGCCTTTTCTTCTCCAATCCATCTTTATTTTTCAAACTTTTTGACTGAAATTGAGGAGGTAAATCCTCAAAATCATCATCACTGTCAACGATTTTCTTCGATGTAGATGCCAAAGTAACACATATTTTTTTTGATTTCTTCATTGTTTTAACCTCTTTAACTCGTTTTTTACCTTTCTTTTGCTTCTTGTTTTCTTCCTCATTGTTCTTCTCTCCCGAAATTTGTGATATACCCAAACTAAAACTTGGAATTTCATCCATAGAATTAGAAGACGAAACTTGAAGCTTCTTTCGATTTCTTCGATAAACTTTTCGATTCGAAGCCGTCACTAGACGCGGACTTCTTCTAAGACCTTCTTCCATTAAGATTCGTGCAGAAAAATGGAGAAAAAAAGCAAACAGGAACCCTAATTTTTGACGAGGAGAAGGAGAAAGAAAAAAAAAGAGCGAGAAAGGATATGAACTTTGTTTAAAATTTGTATAAAAAAGGAATAAATGGGTTTTAAATTGTTTTAAGTTAATATAGCTAAAAGTTGACAAAAATAGTAATAAATAAAAAGTGTACTTAAAATTGGTAATTATAAAATAAAAGGTCTTTGTTTATGTAATTTTTCCTACTTAATATCCCTTTCCCCTTTTACCTATTGGAATTATAAAATTTGTTGGTTAGTGTTATAATTTTTTTAAGTAGTGATGATATATCTGTACTTGATTAGACAATTTATTAAATAATTAACCAAATAGAAAAATTCTTTAGTTTATAGCAAATATTTAATATGCACATATACTCAAATTTTAGGCACTATTTTTTTCACTTTATTGACACAATCTCTAGCTCCCACTTCTCCATTGTGTATATAACTGCAAGTCTATGTGCATATCAGGTATATTTCAAGTGTATACATGACATACATATAACCAACAATGGAAATACAAAGCTGGATTTTATAGGGGAAAACTTTCACATATAGCCACTTAAAAATAATTAATTACTCTCCATAACTATAGTTGAGGAGAGACGCTAGCAAGACTGGGAGAGAGAGGAGGAGAGAGAGGGGGGAAAGAGTGGGAGAAAGGTGAATGTATGTATATTGATTAGATATTTTTAAATTATACATATGTATTTGCATATATGGCAAGAGAGATTGGGAGAGGGAGGAGAGAGGGCAGTGAGACTGGGAGAGGTAGGAGAGAGGCGAGCGAGATTGAGAGAGTTGAGCAAGAGAGGGCAGAAAGTGGGAGATAGGTGAATTGTATATGTATATAATTTTATATCATACATATGCATTTGTATATATGACAAGCGAGATTGGGAGAGGGAGGAGAGAGGAGAGAGAGATTGAGAGAGGGAGGAGAGAGGCGAGCAAGAGAGGGCAGCAACTTGGAGAGATATGTATATAGGTTAAATAATTGTGTACTATACATATGTATTTGTATATCCTGGCGAATTATACATATACAAACACTAATTATACAAACTCGAAGTCAGCCTACGTAATTAATGTATAATGTTAATTGCGAGTGGTAATTATAACAAACTATAACTATGATGAGTAATTAAATAATGTAACTTTGCTTTGTTACGTAATTTTCTTTTTTTATTTATAGGTATTACAAAATTTGTGTTGTTATATTTTATAAAGTAAATAACGTCGCTGCAATTTGTAATAAGTATCACTAATATCGTTATTTATTATGAACTTGTCCCTTAAAAGGAAGCTTGTTAATCCATTAATTATCGTCACATATTTTTAAGGGCAACTTTCACATATAGCAAACAAAAAATTCATATTTGTATAATATAGCAAACTTTGCATAATTGCACTCCATAGCAAACATAAAAATTGTATAATTCGCTATACATATACAAGTGTATAATTCGCTGGCCTAAATTGTATAATTCGCTGGCCTATTTCGCTGCAATTGTATAATTTACTTTGCATATAGTTGAATCGAATTAAAATGTATGTATATTGCATAATTATAAGTTTATAGCAAAAAAATATATGTTTTTCTCGCTATATACAAAAACAGAAACACAATATATACACTTCTGTTGTATAAAGCTAGAGAAAATTGTATTTCACTGCAATTGTATAATTCGCAATTGTATAATTTGTTGGCCTTTTTTTCTGCAATTTTTGAAGTAAAATGTTTGTAAATTGCATAATTAAGTGTATAACACGAAGATATACATTTTTGCATGTGTATATACAATTTTCTCTCGCTTTATACAAAACAGAAACAGAATTATACACTTCTGTGTATAAAGTGAGAGAGGCGAGCGAGAATGGAGAGTGGCGAGCGAGATTCCTGGGAGAGAGACGCTGGCAAATTTTAGATAATGTTTGCTATGGAGCACAATTAAATCAAATCCTAGCTATTCTATTTAATTTAGGTTATTAGTTTGCTATTTTATACAATTTTCCCTATTTTTAAGTAACTTTAATTTGTTATAAATGTAACTCATATTCTTAAAATAAAAAAAATGTGTTCAAAGAGTTCAATAACTCCATAATAAGAAAAAAATAAGGGATTTTTGGTATCAAACTCTATAAAGATCATCGTGTGAATTTCTGCATTTGCAAAAATAATACAAAACTGATTATATTATTTAAAAAAACAAAATTCATATATATATATATATATACATAGCGATGGAATAAGTTGTATCCCATAGACATGATGAAATAACTTATTTCGAGATAACTTATTCCAAAATTAATTATTTCAGAATAACTTATTCCCAACCCAACGACCCTTGGTTAAACCATCTGGCCCCGCAGTTTAATGGTCGAAAGGAATTATTGTATTTATTATCTCGTATTGTACTCCTTAAAATCATATGGCGTTAATTTTTGTTTTTTCATTATCTTGCATATATTCCTCCCATTAAGTAATGTATCATTTGCAACTTATTGAACAACTAAAAAATATATTTGAGAGCAATGAAAATTTCAGAATATTAGAATTGAGGAAACTTTCTAAATAAAATGTAATTAGCCGCCATATATGTGATTTCTCTACTTTATACTTAAATTTATGCATTATAAATATTTTTTTAACACTATCAAGTTATTATGATTGTGCATTCAAACACACAATCTTTAAGGATTTTGAAATATAATTTACATATTTAGAAATTACATAAATAAAATTGTAAATCACAATTATTAACAGTTTTAAATAATTAAAAGGCACACAAATAATTCATAATAAAAAATTTCTCGTTTAACACTCAAAATTCGAACTGTATCCTTATATAAGTTGAGATAGAATAAGTATGTTTTATATACTATAACAAATAAAAATAATCTAATAGTGTAAAAAATATTAACGCCAACCAGGTAAAAGTTAATTATTACTACAATTTTCGTTACATTCAAGTGAAGAAATGTATTGATAACGAAAAAACATTATGTATGGTGTAAGGTCAAAATCATCCCTAGCTATGTAAGCTAGCCTTAATTATAATCCATTAAAAATTGAAAATAAAATAATAAAATAAAAATAGTATGTCAAACTTACTAATAACTCTCCTCCCAAAGAAGAAATTATATTAGTCTAATTAATAAGTTCACCATTAAGTTAATTACAGTTTAATGCTTATGAACACTTAACAAGTATCATATTTAATAAATTAGTCTTATGAAATTTATTAAATGTATACACTAAATTATTAGTTTAGAATCCAATGAGTAATTTAAACAAAATATAAATCTTAAATAAGTTTCACATTCTTATATATTTCACTTTTATTTAAATTCCAAGGGTTGATAATGATTTTTTTAAAAAAAATCCTCAAGACTGTCATCATTCTTGTAGGGAACAGTGTCAAAATATTGTCTATATCTAATTAGTTAGATGTCTATGAAGCCTTAATTAATCTAGCTTCATGAGTCATTAAGAAGGAAAAGCTCTATGAGATAGTGAAATTAATAATTTGCATGTCAAATATAAGTTATTTCTTCGTTCTAATTTTTGTGACATATTTTAAATTTTAAGATTTAAATAAGTCTATTTTTAAACGTAAATATTTTATATAACTTTAAAATATTTTTAATTGTCAATTATTGTAACTTATAGTACTTTTTACATTGTTCAGAAATATTTAAATTTCATTTTTAAAAATTTAAAGATTTCATAAGCAAATTCTTAGTCAAACTTAAACTATTTGATTTTCGAAAACGAAGTATGTCACATAAATTGGGACAAAAAGAATATTCTTAAAGTTTTTCACTCAGTATCCAATATATATTTTGGAATTCGCTTATACGGGAATTTGCATACATATCCTACTAAAACTCACTTCAGGGTTTAAATCTAATATCTCTAATTAAGAATGAATGAGTGTCGGTTTATCGGAATTTCGAGTAGTATATGCCAAATATACTACAATTAATACCATGCAAAATATACAAATAATGTGTATTCTTTGACACCACTCTAAAGCTTGTTCTACAACAACATTTGGTCTAACCAAAGATATCTTACAATCAAGCTATTCACTTTTCTCTTCAACATTATCCATTATTTATTTAAATTTCACCAAATCAACCAAACATCCTATCAAACAATATATATACATATGAAGTCTCCATGCTCTAGTACAAAAATAACAACAAGAACATTAAATTTCTAAAGAAAAAGATTTCATTTTTTTTTGGGTGCAAAAATGGGTGCTATTGGAATATTATTGATTGTCTCTATAATTGCATTATGTCTCCTCCATAATGTTTCAGCTGAAATCAGGCATTACAAATTTGAAGTAAGCATATTACTAATTATTAGTTTTATTTTTCTATAATGCGATTTAATTTATACACAATGACATTATTAGAAAAGTTACACTATCGGTATATTTTAACATGTTGTATACGTAGCTAGAAAGTTACACCAATGTCCTCATTTTCTAGGTTACGATTCTCATTAATTAATTTATTATGTAAAAATACAATTTCTTGTCATTCTTCTAATTTAACTATTCGTATTTTGGATTTAATCAGATCAAATTGCAAAACGTGACAAGACTATGCCATACCAAAAATATCGTCACAGTAAATGGAAAATTCCCAGGACCTCCTATAGTTGCAAGGGAAGGTGATCGTCTTGAAATCGAAGTGATCAATAATGTCCAAAACAACATCTCTATCCACTGGTATATATACATTTAAAAAAAATAATTATTTTTTTCACACGATTCAACGAGTAATCGATATATTTTTCTTACAATAGGCATGGAATTCGACAAATTCGTAGTGGATGGGCAGATGGACCAGCATATGTAACACAATGTCCAATTCAAATTGGCCAAAAATATGTGTATAATTTCACTATAATTGGTCAAAGAGGAACTTTTTGGTGGCATGCACATATTTCATGGTTGAGATCAACTCTCTATGGTCCTATTATTATTTTACCTAAGAAAAATAATCCTTATCCATTTACCAAACCTTACAAAGAAGTTCCCATAATCTTTGGTAATTATAATTAATTTAAGTCATTATATT